ACCGCACTAAGACTGACGTCTTTTCATTGGTCAGCCGGTTAGCGCGGTCGATGCTAATAATAAAAGCACACACACACACACATGGACATCAATTTGAGAACAGTAATTAATTCAGGGGTCGGGCTGACAGGCGGTGTTATTCAACGTGCGCAGAACCCAGGCGGGGAAACAAAAGGACCCATCTAAAACAGTTTTTTTGCGAAAAAAAAACTCCGCTATCGCTCCGTTTTTTTTATTTTCGCACGCGCGCTTCGCGCGCGGAAAAAACTCCTAAAACCTATATCGCGGGCATGTATAGCCCACAAGAGGATGATCAGCAAAATAAGAACCCCAGCCTCGGCCGAAAGTACAGGTTCTTAAGTGCGGGAGCCATCTGTAATGAGAGACAAAAAAATAAGAATGTGAACACGATAAGAGTCCGCGTTAGCTGGACGCGTACGGACGTAAGAAGGCACTGAGCGGAGATCGGAATTTTGCTAGTGTAAGACATGAACAAAGCAACAAAGTTCTAAGCCCCTTCGAGGGACCTGCAAGGGGTATCCAAATCAACAAAGAGTTCATTCGGCCGTCGCGACATGGCGCGACGAGGTGCCACGCGTTCTCGATACATGTGCTACTGTAGTACTCGCTTTCATCCCGGCGTTACGAGTTGTTGTTGTCGTTTCTCACATTAGCTCCATAGTCTAGACTAGTCTAGTCCACAAAAAAATGGGGAGCCCGTGGTCTCAAAACCCGGCACAGACGACGCCGCGGGGAAAGAAAACAAATGTAGGTGTTGTTGTAATACTGTTGCCATCCCATTTTTCAACACGTACAGCAGTATTGTGAAGTGAAGGAAGGTATTTGACGCACCAACCGGGTCACTGACGACAGGGGCTGCCTACTCACGTGATGTTTTGTTCCTCTCTCCACCGTTGCTTGTGCGTTACGGGCACTTGCCTTCATGTTGTCTGCTACGTTGGATGGCACGACCGTTCTTTTCCCTCGTCGACCGGGAAGTTGCGCGTGAGGACATGAAATTACTATGGTTGCCATCCACAATAATTCCTACTTGTTTGGGGGGCAAAAGAACTTGAGCAAACGAACCACTCCGGGTTCGTGTGACGCTGTACGCAGAGATGCAACCCACGTCCAAACGTCAGACAAGCTTGCGAGGTCAGGTCACCACCTGACACGCTGGGGCAACATCCAGGATGAGAACCAAACACTACGAAATGGGTATTCCTCGAACACTAGTCTTGGGTGATAACTCCGACCCAAGCGATAGGTGGCAGCGGCCCCTGAACGCCAAATGGCTTGGTAAATGAAACACTGTAATCGTTCCGTTCTTGGAATTGTCAAGCATTTGATACGACCCGCCGGTTATTGCGGTGTCCTGCTGTGCCATGCACAACTCTATAATGCACACAAACGTACACATACGACATAGGACTTTGCTTTCCCGAAATGCACTGGCAAAATCTAATTCGATTGATGAACAACGCCAGCAGAAAGGGTCACAGCAGTAGCAGTAGAGGCCATGCAAATTGATTATCAAATCACGCCTGTATTCCGAATCGAAGTAACATGCATACCTTACCCACGACCAGAACACCCTGCACTGACACAATAAAAACTGGAATAAAGTTCACAACAGTAACGTAGTATCGATTAAGGCACTCATCATCGGTTCGGCAGGGTCAGCCCACACGATCGTATCTACTTGGGTACAATTTTGGGGGCGACGGGAAACACACAAGTGCTCTACAGTACACGGGGAGAGGGGGACGTCCTCGTACATGCCCTCCTCCGCAAGGGGGCCAGAAACGCAATCAGCAAAAAACACGAACAAAACCACACCCGCAAAACACAACTGAGCGGGGGGCGAGCCCGATACGACCGAGAGGGGCTCAAAACAAGGCTCCCTCGCCAACCCCAGCGGCTTAACCGGAACGAGTCAAAACCGCCTTCTACAGCAGCGCAAAACAGTAGCGCTAGCATGCACAAACAAAAAGGACACGGCCGTCTCTAAGCATCGCCGACCTCGTCACAACCTGGTAGCTGTTGTCACACTCTCTGAGGCCACACTCACATCCCGCCTTCTCTTGCCTCGCTTACCGTACACCCCTTCGCCGCCGCCGAAGGCAATCATCTCCCGACGATCCCGATCTATCTCCTGTTCTGTTCTCCACTGATGCTGAAGGCGTCCATCTCCACACCTACACCACAGATGGCGCTGAAGACATCTGCCCCACAGTTGCGGCGACAAACGCTCCTGCGCCTCAACCTACCTGCACACCTAATACAGACGCCTCCCCTTCGCCTGCTTGATCCCGCACTTCCCCGTTTTTCAGCTTTCTGGCGGGTCCCTCTCTCACTACCACATCGAAGCACATCGGGCGGAAGCGCTCAGGCAGGAGCCATCGCGCGAAAAACCTTACGCCCCTCGTCCTGAGCCGCACGGCAACGCCGTCTACGCCAAGGGCCGCCGCCTGACTGTGTCCTTCCGGGAATCCCGCCTTCGGCGCAACCTCCAACGGCGAGGGCAACGGCGACGACAATGGGGGCGCCGACGAATCACACTCGGGAATGGGGGGGAGAGACATTCGTTGCTAGCTCGGGCGTCCCGAAACGGTGTCGTCGTCGCCGGCCCCACCACCACCACCCCGTAAATATCCGTGGTTTTTCCCCGAACCGCCGGGGGCTCCGGTGTCTGCAAACCCACCCCCTGAATAACGAGTTGGAGAGTCACGGTGGACGTCTGGGAGCGTTACACCTGTCTCGTTTCCGTGGGAAAGAAGACTGCCATAGCCCTGCTCGGCCATGGACCGGGTCAGCATGCTGTTTCCTGGTTGATTAAGGCAGGAAGGAAGGTGCAATGCGAGACAAACGCAAGTTCCGCTTAGCTGGGCACGCCGTGATTCCATCTCGAGACGTAGGAGAGGGAGGCTGTACTTCGAAAAAAAAAAATGTTCCTTCAACACGGGCTGCAAAGACGTCGCTCACTGTTTCCCTCCTTCCCACGTGTTCTGTCTCTTGGCACAAGCCTCTCTCACTGTCCAAGCATCTCTCCCCGCTCTCTCTACAAAACATCTAACCTTCCAGATTCCACCCTTCCTATAAATAACAGTAGTCCAATACACAAGATGGTCATCAAAGTGTCTTGCTGAGCCTGTTACCCGCAGGGGAGATATTTCACTGTATGTCACGCGAAGACAAGTGGATAGACACTGTTTAGGTCACACCACAACACCATTGCGAAAGCATCCTGGAAGTTTAAGGTCGGGTAGAGAGAGGAACTACAGTAAGCGAGCGCCGGCGTTAAAGAAACGCCGATGTGGCATCGAGGCTCGATTTCGTATTTCGCCTCCACCGTCGAGCATAGGTTACAACATAGAGTGAAGTGCAGGATCCACTGCTAAGGCGTATTTCTTAGCCGATTATTCTAAAACATTATCAGACCTGAGCCGTAGTTTCACATTGAAGGTTTCAGCCTGTATCGCAGTCGTAAAACGGCTGTAGTGTTCCATGAAGAAAAAAATTCCCTACACCTGAGGGTGAGCCGCCGCTGCTGCTGCTACGGTCTTTGGCCCCTGTCGCTGATGAAACCGCCGGTTCACCGCCCGGCAGACACGCCTCCATCACCTGCGAAGCCGGTAACCGCGACCCCGCCGAACCTGGCGGCTGAAACGCTGGCTGGAAGGAGGGCTCGAACTCGTCCGAGTGAAGATGCGGCCAGTTGTGGGGCTTACAGTTTCGGGAAAGGGGGAGGGGGGAGGGGGGGGGGGGGGG